CATAGAAAATCGACTCAAGTCGGTTTTGAATAACAACCAGGAAAATTGTATTTGAATATGTGTGATGAAGCACAGGAGAAAGGAAAGGGGCTTGGGGTGGAGTTTGGGGTTGTGGTTTGTTGTGGGGATTTTGGCTGTCATTAAAATTCTCACTGTCGTTACTTTAACTATTACTAAAATTTGCCCCAGTAAGGGACGAAATTACCAAACTTTACACTGCAGCCTCTATTGAATCCTGTGCGGGAGCTATTACAGCTTGGAATCACGACTCAGAAGCCAGTAGGAGTTTCTCATATCTGAGGGCAGAATTTAGTGTCTTGTGCTATTTGAGACTTGGTGTTGGGCTTGGTCCTAATCATTGAGGAGGGTTCTGGTAGATGTCAAGTGAAGAGAAGAATAGAGCACGCATCCTTCACCACTCAAGCCAGACAATGAAATTAGAAAATGGCACTGGGAGTTGATGTGAGAGAATTCCCCTGGATTCCTAGAGGAAGAATAAAACAAGAATGAATTAATTAATTTAAACAAAAAAGAAAGAGGGGGGTGGAAGCAGAAAGGAAGAGGGGAAAAAGAAAATAAATTAGAGAAACCCTGCCAGAACTCTCCTCAGGTTAAAGTCCGACATTAAAAGCTGTATTGACTTTTCTGCGCGTGTACTTACTGTTTCATCTGAGTTTCTGGTTCTGCATTTTTCAAATCTCTTACCAAGCAGTTTGCATGCATATGATGTTTGCAGCACTACCCGCTCGTATTTGAAGACAGTTTTCAGAAGTCATTATTGAACTATAGGATAAAAAGCATAATTACACGTTAAAGAGAATAAATATGTTCTGCTAGATAGTTAACCAGATGAGGTTAAACAAGATAAGATGAATTCTGGTCTTTTTAGAAAACTGACAGTCCTCATTTTAAGCTACAATGTAAAGTACTTTATCCTGAGATTAGGTATTGTGGCAGAAGCTAAAACTGCCTTTTTCCCCTAACCGTGCCAGAATACAACCTCCTTTTCTTTCTGCGCTAACAAGACTGCTTTACCACCACAGCCCACTCTAAGTAATTAAATCAATCCTTTGTACTTACCGTATTCTCCTCTAGTGACGGTACTAGATCTGATTATATGCTTCATGCATATTCAAAGTACAGCACTGACAGCTCTTTAATGAGCTCTTACTTAATCAGTACGAACAATGTTCATCTTGTTCTTTTTTTCCTCATACATTAGAGCTAGGAACAGTTGGGGAAAAAAATGAAACATCCAGCATTCATTTGAAAAATATATTGTACTTTCAAAAGTGTCTAAGCTGGAGAAGTTGCATTCTGCCCTTTAAAAGTCTGATGGACAAATTGGATTACTAGTATTGGATTAAATAACAAATGGTTAGAGGAGAAATGAGAAAAGCTCGCTGTGATCACAGGCTTTAATATTTTTTGTTACTTATAAAGCTGAAGGGGTCTTTAACCAGTTATTAAAGTCAGGATTAATTTGTAATGGTCCAACTTACTAGCTTTAAAAGGGTTTTGTTGTTGTTGTTTATCAAAAACAATAGTGTAATGCATGTATTATGGAAAAAATTTAAGTTTAAGATCTGTGGGCAATTTATAGATTTTCAGCATCTTGTACTGGTTTAGATAAGGGGTTTGCATGCATGGGATCGATTTGTTCTCAAGCATGGTTTTTTGCTTCATTTAAATAATCTGTACAGTTTGTTGGGGTTATTTTTCCCTGAGAAAAACACAGAGATTTTCCCAATTTGAATTTTCAAGCGTTCGGAGCAAGTCAATTAAATACTTGTTTTACACTTGGAAAGCGGAAACAACAACCACCCCAGCAGCAGCAGGTTTTTACAGAGTGAAACTGTTGAAGAAAGGCTTTTTCTAAATTTTTTATTTAGAAATTGTAAGAGTTTAGCTTGCAATATCACTGTAGTAAGAACATTCAGTTTTTCTTTGTTGAAAGTGTTTCATGTGCATCCTTTCACATTAAGTAATGCTCTAATGCTAGTGTATTTACTGAAGAGTTATTTAAATTTCTTATATATGGGAGTTCATCTTTATTTTACTTGCCTGGGAAGAATCTGTTTCATCTCCATGCACAAGAATTTAAAAGCTGACGGCCGACAAATAAAATATCAGCATCGACTACTATTAATATTGTACACATATGTCATTTCACTGATCAAAAAGGCCTTCGCCAGGGTACAATTGGCCTTTTTCCAAATTGCAAGCTTTTTCTCAGCTTTTTCTTTTTTACTCTTTCTTCTTTTGTTGCTGCCCAGGGATTTGTGCCTATTGCAGCTGATATCACATGACCGGTGTCAGGGCATCACATGGGTCCAAAGCGAATACAAAAACAGATTTAAAATTCTGCAAAAACAATCAAGACTTTGTTAATTCACTTTTAAACCAGCCTATCCTATGGATATTGCATGTGCTTTGCTGTCAGTGTGGATGTGTTAAAATAGGCACCTGTGCAGATTGGAGTCGACAGCTCCAAGATTTTACCTAGATCTTTTCTCATTATGTGTTGCAACTACCTTTATTTAGGTGGAATGCATTAATAGAAAAAAAAAAAAAAGATTATATCCTAAGTTCTAAACCTGAAATTGCATGGCACGAAAGTCAAGTTCAGATCCACCACTGAGTCAAACACCTTGGAAGCATTTCTCTCTACCATTTCTTTTTCAAGGCTTGCAAAATTAAATGCAGCAAGAGCTTGTATTTATAATGGTGTCTTTTAGCCAGAGATCTCAGACCACCCCAAAACTAACAAATTGGTTGAAATGTTACTCTAGCCACAGATGTCTGATTGTGAGAACTTTGCCACATTGCTGGTAAAAAAATCTTGTGCATTACAGAATAGACTGGCCATTTTGCAAGGATAAAAAAAAGGCAGTCTATCCCCTTCTTCTTGCCCTCTCTCCTAAATGAATTTCAGCTACTTGGTGCATTTCAGCAAAAGGTTGCTAATCCTGATTATTGTCTACTTCTAAACTCAGACCCTGTTAGATGGACCAATACAACAGCAACACCTTTGACCTGTAACTTTACAGCAAAGTGTACTGAACTGCTGAATGTTGTTGGAAATGCTGTGGTGTGATATTTTATGGACAAAACCAGAAGTGGGAGTCTTGAGTGATAACTTTTCTACATGTCATATTTCTTCTTTCATCACTCCATTGTCCAGGAGCTGGACCCTGCTGCTTTTGTTTGGAAAAGGTCTGCAGCACCATTCCCACTTTGGGATGCTCTGCTCTTCTTGTCTCACCACTAGGAAATCTTGTGTCCTAAAAGCACTGTTCTTGTGAAGTTTCATCAACCAGGCACTTCCCAGGGAGATAACTGGGCACAGATGGATGTCTCATGCCAGAAAAGAGAACATACCAAATGCCATAACTTTTTCTTACTGTATGGGTCCACCAGTATGACCCCAAGCTGACCCACTTCCCTGTTCATCTTCTTTTCCTTCCCTTGTGTGGATCCATAAAGCCCAAAGGCCATAGCCGAGGGAATCAAACAGCCAGAGACTTCCATTGCAGGCAGCAGGGTCATAGCCCAGTGAGGATGTGATTCTCCATGCAGATCTGGGCTTGCACAGTACCGTGGCATTGGGGTGTGAACATGCACATGGCAAGCGCATACTTGTAAGCATTTTAAACGCTCCCATCCAGTAACTGAAAGCTTTGGTTTAGAGCAAAACAATATTTTTTCTGGTGTCTTTCCAGCTTCGGGTTCTAGAAAGTGCTTATTTGCAACTAGGGATCCTGTGGTTTAAGTTAGTAAGATAGCATCCCCAAGTGTGCAGCACCTTGCATCAGAGATTTCAAAGCCCTTCACAAACACAAAAGAGTTAACTTCTAGCACCCTCACAGGATCAGTATGGGAGATTATTTCGTATTGCACACAAAGCGCTTAAACTCGGAGATCTACCCACAGTCTCCCAGTAAAGCAGTACCAAAGCTGGGAAGCAGGAGACCCAGCTCATGCTCTTTTGCCATTATTCCAGGTTTCTTCCTAGATTAATTTTAACCATGTGAAATGTGTGAGTTTCGTAATTCATTGAGGACCATGGTCTTGCTATTCAATTTCACTTGAGAGATGATTCAGAATAGCATGTTGCTACAGAGTGGCAACCTCCAATGAAGGACTTTGATGATGTTTCTCGTGAGCTCAGAGAGAGTGGAATTTGGCTCAACAGCTCTGCTACATGGAAAGGACAGGCAGAAGTTTTCTGGGCACTCGCCTGCCTTTGCACCATGTGGCCTGATGGTGCAGGGGCAGTGACATAGACTCTGGTATAGCATTGCACTGCCTGCAGGTAGGCTGTGGAGGGTCCTGATCCTGATCCTGCCTGGGATGGACGTGGGCTAGGGAAAGGGATGCTAGTCCATGCGTACGCACGAGGACCCTTAGGCACCCAGACCCCAAGATTATTTGTATTTGTGCAGATGCTACCTTTGATTGCAAGTTGAGGAAAGGAGCAAGTCTTTCCAGCTCATCATCTGGAAGAGTGGCCATCAATACAGAAGCTGAGCAGGTGCCCACACCTTGGCCAAGGGTTCAGGATTACCATCTCCTCTGCAGCTAGTTTGATGCCTACCACGTCATCCTGACTGTGCTGGGTTTGCATGGTGGAGGGAATCTTGCCCACAAGGATTGGTTTTGTGTTTGGTTTCAGCAGTAAGGTTTTTTCATTTGAAGCATTGCAACAATTGTAGTTCATTTGAGAGAATTTAAAAGATACAGTCCTTTTTAAAAGGTATTTATTTAGGTCAGGGTATCAGCATGATAAAAACCACTAAAATGTGTGCTGAAGAATAGCTGCTTTCAAAGATTTCTTTATGAAGCAGGCAGGACTTGTAAGCATATGATATTTTTACCATTTGAGAATATGCCTTGTCATGCTCAGTGATATTGGAGACCGATACACCAAAACCTGAAATGGAATACGTAGCTCAATTTGTGAAATGCCACATAAGTAAGTGAAATTCTTTTGATTACAGGAAGAAACACAGAAGAAGAAGAAGCTATGATGCAGGAATGGTTCATGCTGGTTAATAAGAAGAACGCCTTAATAAGACGAATGAACCAGCTTTCTCTTCTGTAAGTACAGATGAACATATGTGTTTATGAAAGGATGGTTTACAGGAATATTTACCCTTCAGACAGATGCAAAATTTTTTTACTCTCTTCCCATTAGGCTTCAAAAATAACCCCTCAGAAGTGAGTAGTGTGAATGCGTTACACATCGAGTAACTTGTTTTTCTCATATTTCAGACGTGAAAATGAGAAGCATGCAATGACACAAGATTAGCCAGAGCTGTGAAAAAAAAAATTAAATATTAAGCACTGTTACATTTTCAAAGGCCTAACAGCAGAATAAAATTACATTTTAGAATGTAATGGATTTGGATTGTGCCTCAGATGAGACAGGTGAAGTCTGTTCAGAGAGAGAACAAAATCTGAGTCCCTACCTGCTTTGTAGAAATCCTCAATCCCATCGCTACAACAGGAGCACCAGGCTGCAGAAGGGATATTAGGAAATCAGACACAGTGCAGTGATACCAGCCATACTGCAAAGTAGGAACAAATGAACTTTTTTCGCTGGCACTGTCGAGGAAGGGAGAAGGTGCTGCTTGTTTTCAGAGCCATTCTGCCCTGAGTGCTTTGCTTCCAGCTCCTTTCAGTTTGATGATAATTCTTTCCGTAATGCCACCTAGTGTAGATGCCTGCATACTTCCCTGGGAAGAGTCTCTGCTCACCTCTTTCCTCCTGGGTCTGAACTTGACAGAAGATTCTACCTTCAAAATATTAAGCTTTCTAACCCCTTGTCTCATTTTTATTATTCAGTAGGGCAGAATGTATATGGCATAATACTTCCAGTGCCTTATTTTCTTGGTGAATAGGCTGATGCTGGAATTTGGTCATTAGATCTGGGGGAACGTTTTATACTTGGGACATTCCACAACAGCCGCTCCAAAGATGAAAATGTAATAATTGCGTCCTGTAGCACAGTGGAGTTAAACTGACAGAATTAAAGCTGATGTTACAGAAAATGAACAGGCCCTGTTACCAAATAGGCCACCTGAGCCAGGTTTGAAGTTTGTGTATCATTTGTTTGGAGTAGCTTAAAGTTAAAGAGAAAAGTCAGTGGCAAGTCCTAAAATCAATGTAAGTTAAAGGTGCTTTTAAGTGTTTAATGATTTAGTAATTAACATATTGATGAACATTTGCAACTTGCCTAGGGAAAAAGAACATGACCTAGAAAGGCGCTACGAGCTGCTGAAC